GGGGGGGGATTCACCTGGCGTTGACGGCCGGCCGGCCGGTCGTGTCGTCTGGACTGGAGGGTGGCCTCCCCCTCCCCACCACCATTGTGACCCCCGCATTCACCCTGCTGCTGCTGAGGCTGCGCGATGCCACCCACAACACCCAGAGATAACCGACGACAATGTTCTCTCCGATAAACTCGGTTGTGTCGGGGAATGTCGGATAAGGTTCAGGCGACCTCCATAGTGGATATGTGGTTATTTTGGCACGAATCCCTTGCTTTCCCCTACCCACCCTGCACATCGAGTGATTCAGATGATCGCTTTTGTAAACCTCCCGTAGAGCTCACTTAGGGATGGGGATGGGAAAAATAAAAATTGCAACTGCTTCTTTCTTTGGGGGAGGGGGGACTTTCACTCCCAAAAAGTTTTCTTTCATTGCCTCCTAACGTCAGAACGTCAGCCTACATCATCGTTCCTGCGTCCTGCGTTGGCCACCCTACTGTTGTGTGAGGTGGGGGTCCTTTGTTGTTGTTGTGGTGGTGGTGTCATTTAGTTATTGTTATTGTTTTGGCGCTCTTTCTCATCCAACATCTTTCAAGATATTTTGCGTATCTTTCATTGTTCTATCAGTAGGTCTTCCCCTTTCGTTCCACGAAGACTCACGAATATGGGGAAAATACGGGAGTTGACGACGGAGGAGAAAATGACTATGAGACTTGGTATGTACGACGTCAATAGAAACATCAGCAGGTGTCACATGGTTATGTTAAATAGTTATTCAAATAATCACTCCTTATTTTATTATTGATGTGTTATGCGTGTGGTCATTTTCTTACTCCTTATTTCATATGTCCTTACTGTTTCTCACTTGAGATGACCATTTTATAAATGGATACATAATCTGTAAACCTAGATAGGCAGGGTTCTGTTGCCTGAGGCCTGAGCGCGTTTGGCTTAGACTTCTACATTCCCTTTTCATGGTTGTAGATTCATTGCATATTATCTGCAATTCTAGTATGTGTGTATTGTAAATTGCAGATGACATTATATACTATGAAAATGCAAGGAATATCCAAGAAAATTACCAATGGAATCATGATCAAATTGAAAGTAATTCGAACATGACTGATCAATCTAATCATGACAGCGGGAATCATGACGTGCAGCAGTACTATGACAATGAAAGAAGGAACAATTATCATCATGATTTCTATCAACCTTATAATCAAAGAAGGAATCAAGCTCTCATGCCTCGCAAGAATTTTAGAAGGAACTACCACAATTCTCATCATGATCATGTGAAATGGAATTACAACAGAAGGAAGAACAACAGTTGGAAGAATCACAGATCACCTTATTTGAATGACAGATTGGTAAGTATTGTAATCTACTACTATTACTTACTTACATGACATGTTGACTATACTTATTATTTTTTTATAGATTCACAAGATTGAATCTGCTCCACGGGGTAGCATTTTTCGTCGTTTGGAACTTGATCTTCCCTCCCGCCAAATTCCAGGCGCTGGTCATGTGTTTTACGATTGTGTCTTCCATTTTCACTGACACCAGGACTATTCTTGATAATCATGGCAAAGACTCTTTTATTTTTTGTTTAGTTTTCTCATTTCATTGACAGTGTGGCCACAATGTTGTATGATGGAAGCTGTTTTATTTCTTTACTAGTAATTGGAAAATATATTTTATTTTGGCATTTTGCCTCTCTTAACCAATCAAATCTTGTTTTTGTCTTTTATAACTCCTGGATTGCTTAATACCTCCTATCTCACTAGTTTCAACATATTAATTTGCAAGACAACTGAGATTTCATGACAGGCCTTAGGCATATACTCTCATGCCTTAGGGGAGCTGGGGGAGCCCACTGTGATGGCGAGACATCCCTTGAAACATGGTTTGATGAAAATAAGTAGAAAAACAGCATAGACGAATTGCATTAGGATCGATGCAAAAATTAAAACGTTCATGTCAAAAATCTCTCATCCCAATTTCACAAGGGAATGCCCACATTCGCCGAATGTTTATAGTGGTACTGCCAACTTAAGATGTTTCCCTGAACTGCACCAATCGAAAACACCTCGTCAAAGAACATGCTAGCCCTTTTGAAAGTATCAATTTAATTCGCTGCATACGCTTGCCATTTGTTCCTTTTCAACTCTCGATTCATGGGTGTCTTTATGAGAAAAGTGTCTGGCAGGACCGAAATGAGCATTTGAATGTTGGAGTGCCTGCACACCCTTTGTTGGGCCCTGTCAGTACTTTCACTGCACTTGCCCTGCGGGTTGGACTCCTGAGTCCAGAGAATTTAGTTTTGTGCTGCGGTGCTGCTGCGTGTAATTTTGTCTATCTGACGATATTTTCTTCAAAATGGAGGCGAACATTATTCAACCGGAGAATAATGTTATTCCACCGGAGATAAAAATCAACATGGCTCTTGGTAAGAAATCATGTCAAATGGACCATGGTGTTGTTGACAATGGTGATGAGCTAGAAGAGGTTGGAAATGATTGTACAGTGTTAATGTTGCCTTTCTCGTTACTGTACCAACTATTCATTTACATTATTATTTTCTGCATGACAACAATTATTTATGCCTTCTGCGTATGTGATGTTATTGTTAGGTTATGTTATCTCTTTCTGACAATCGGCTCAAATTGTTTGCAGATGATATCATAAGAATAGAAGGGAAAAAGTTGCCAATTAGCCATAATCTATACAAAAGGAAGCCTTTCTATAAGAACTTCCGCAGGAACCATTATAAAAGGTTCTACCGTAAAAGGAGATATTTGTCACAAAATTGGCGTTTAAGATCGAACGGCCCCGGCAGTGCACCTGGTGTAAGTATCTCTAACCCCATTTCTTTCTTGCACGAATCGCATGTCCCTGTTTTACCTGAGGTATTAAAGGTTTCATATCTCTTTCAGCGGTACAAGCTCAGAGCCTTTCTGGAGCGGAAGTGGAGGACAACACCTTACAATTCTGTGTTTCATAGGCTTGGATACAACTCAGTTGCAAAGGCTAAGTTATGGGAAGCCCGGAATTACACTCGGCCAAACACCTACAGGGTTAGTTTATTATCTTCGCTCATTTGAAAGTGCTCTCAATTCTGTTGTCTTACTTCTTTCAACTTGTTCTAGAAATGGATGCCACATGTGCAGAGAGACCCACATCGACTTCAGAAGCTCTACGCTTCTCAAAGGCAGTAAGTGTTTGAAAACTATTTTCTTTTACTTTAAGCTTTCCTTTTCTGCACTTTTTACTTTTTTTATTTTTGTTAAATCAGATTTTTAATTGTTTTGTGAATATGCTAATGTGAATTTTTATTTGCAGTTATACAAGTAAAAACATCCTTCAGATAGACCCCTCAGAGCTACCACCATGTAAGATTTGATATTATCCAATAGCTGAATTTTTGAGATATGTAGTTTTCTTATTCTCATTATTGGTTTCAGCTTCTGAGCCAGTTAAGCCTTTGAACAAAATCAACCTGGCACAACTGCGGGATATTTTGGGGGGCCAAATAACGCAAGTGGCGGAGGCTACCTCTGAAACTGGGACCGTAACCACAACAATCACGAGGGTGGCTTCCTTTGACTCTAGAAGTGATTCTAACTTCAGTCTCAATTCTAATTCATACTCCAATTTTAATTCAAATAACTCTAATTTTAACTTTAGTGAAAACTCTATATGTCAAGAGCCAACCCAGAATAAACTTTTCAATTACCTTAATTCAGGCAGGCAAAATTTTGCTAATACAATGAACAACAGTGTTCAGAACCAGTTTCCTATGGGTGGCTCTTTTAGTCTAAGAAATCAATTTGACAATACTAATCAGAATCGTATGGTAATGTCTGGAGTTAATTCTGAGTCAGGGAACACCATGGCTGGTACTTCTATGAACAGAATGGGTTTTTCCGGATTCAATAATGGATTTATCCAGCAGGCAGTGTTTACCCCAGTAAGTATGCCTTTGCTACGCACCAGCTGTTTCGAATTTTATCTCACTAAAAACTATTAATTACCTTTCAATTTTGTTTTACAGAATATGAACAGAACTAATGTCAATTTACAAGATGAAATTGCTGGCATTCAACAAGTAAAGAATGACCTCCCTCCTCTTGTGGTGCCGGTTCCTGGCACTAAGTTTCGTCCTCTTGGCAGAGGAATTGACGACTGTAGATTGACACCTCATGCTTTAACAGTGCCTCTGACTGCACGTATTGTGAACAGTACTTCTGATCCTATGGAGTTTTAGTATTTTACTTCATTTTATTAGATGGTGTTTCTTTTCCTTTTTTGTTTTTTTTCCCCCATCATGATTAATAATTTTTAATTTGATTTTCTTTCTATGTTACTGTACATTAACAAGCATTGAAAACAAAAACATGAGTACAAGTATTGTTTACCAATAAAATTATTTTTTGTATCGAACTGGTTTGTATCATTTCTCTTCCCACTCATTTTGATGCTTTAGCAGAATTTTTCTATTTGAGTAGAATTAAATGTGTTGTATTTCCACTCTAACTGCAATTGAATTTGAACTTTCCCGCATGCTACAACAGCTGATATGAATTGTGCTGCCTCCGTGCCTCCTCCCCCCCCCCCGCTCCCCCGCCCTAGGGCAACGGACGTGGGTTTGTGGTGGACTGTGGCCCGGCTTGAGTGATCCTTTGACAGTAGCCTGGACGTCAATTTCCTTCTATCAAGACTAATTTAGAACCCAAATAGACCTTATAATGGCGGCGCTAAGCAGCTGTCGCACCGTCTTTCAAAATTTAAGGATTCTTGTGTACGTGAAGCCTGGCACCATAACCTCCTCGGAGTGTCTGTCAACTTCAAGTTCGTCTGTTTCTAGTGTCATACCATCTCCTAGGACTGTTATCGCTGAAAAATTCAAGAGAGCTATGGATTGGTACGAGGAGGTGACCGGTATCAGGGAAGTACGTCTGTCGCAAGAAAAAGTTTTGAAAGCAGAAGACCGTTTTATAGCTGCTCAGGACGCTCGTCGAGACATTAGCAAAGAACTGTCTGCAGTGAGGGACAGATTGAAAGACATTTATGCTGAACTGGACCAGACATCTCGTGGGGAAGACCGCTATGTCCTTCTTATCACTCAAGAACACAAAGTTCTCAAAGATGAGAGAAGATTAGCCGATCAGTTCAATCGCTGTGAACAGGAGGAGCGAGAAAATTTTTCTACTTTATCTTCCGCAGTTAAGGAAAGCCATGAAAAGGAAAGGATTCAGGCAGAAAGGACTAAGTACTGGTCAATCATTGGTTCTATTATAGGCACAATGATTGGCATTGGTGGTAGTTCTATTAACAATGAATTTAAGATGCGAGAGTTAAGGAAGCTCGTGAAAGAATCTGCACAAGCTACCATACTGTCGCGTCAAGAAGCAGAGGTACCCAAAGATTTGATCATGATCACAGATAATGTTCGGGAACTATCACTACAGTTGGTTCAAGAACAAGCTAATATATTGGATACAATTAAGGAACATAACAGTGCTATGGGAAAGCAACTTGAGCAAGTTCAAAAATTTACTGAGAGTCAAATATATGTTACAGGGGATGGAGTAGCATTAAATATTGATCAACTCCTAGAAACACAACGGAAAGAAAATAGAATTTTAGCTATTGTTTGTTTGTCTTCTGTAGTGTGTATTATGTTTGTTACAAAAATATTTAGTTAGGTATCTTAAGATAAGAAATCATGAGTATATTATGTGTCTAATAAGTGTAAGGTGAAATTGTGCACGGAACTGTATTTGAATCTTGCCAATTTATCCAGTGAAAGGATAATAGTTCTGAATAGATGTGAATAATCGACCTATTTGATTTCTATGTTGTTCCTGTTTTAGGGAATTGGTTTACATGGTATCATTAAACAATTTTAATACATTAACCTTAAGTTTTGTGGACAATTTGTTGCATATTTACTCCATGTGATCTTCGGATCACTCCAACTTGCAGATCCTCTGAGGGAAGTTTATGTGTGATGATTGCACATTATTATGAATGAGGATTTTTAAGAGGTAGTGCCACACTTTCTTTTTCAGACACAAAACAAAATTTTAATCAGTTCAAAACAAAATATTTGTCCTTGGTAACACATGCATACAAGCTACCTCAATATAAATTTTACATATTTGTGGCTTGATTGTTTAAAAAATGCACATGTCTTTAAAATAAGTGCAACTCTAGCACCTGTACTGACTTAATTTACCAGACTAATTAGTAACAATCTTAGTATTTATCTTTCAAACATTCAAATTCTATTATCACACAAATTGTCTCTACCCAAGGATTACACAATACAATGAAAAACAAAAAGTACGTACTAAGCAAGGTGGAACATCAAATTTTAGAGACAAAAACAGCAAGATATTTGGAACATAACCATTTCATGGGAAACAATGCTATCAGAGATTTTGAGATAAGAACTCAATGAAATGGTTTATGACCCTTCTGTCTTTAACAGTTTTATTTTTCACCATCCCTGCAAGATATAGCTTTCTCAAACTTAATTCCTGACCAGAGAACACAGATATGTAGGTACACTAAGATAAAACAAAATAGAAAAATACACTTGGGTTTGATGAATAATGGACAGATAAAAAGTAACACAAAAAATGAAAATGTTTATCAAACTAATCATTCCACTTGCGGTATTCTACACCATCAGGAGGCTTCACGTCCACAGTTTTCTCCTTCACATCTTTCCACACTGTACTCAAAACTGTGCCCCCTGATTCAACCTGTGACAAGAGAGAAAAACAGGTATAATATTTTACCCAAATGCAGTCAGAAGTTCTGAGTAGGGACTGGTAAATAAACTTACAAAGGATTTATTCATAGCTCGCCTCACATCATCTGAACCTTCACCATAAATTTGTTGAAACAAGGCATTCAAAGCAGCTTCTCCCTGTGGTTTATCATCTTCTGTTTCTGCTAAAGCTACAACTACTTTGTCCCAGTTTTTTTCTTTAGGTGCTTTTCCAACTGTAAAAATTTGTTGAGGAACAAGTTATGATCCCATATCTAATGGACGTTTATTAAATAAGGAAAGGTGGTAAGTGTCTTCGCCAGAACACTTACCCTCTGATGGCAGAGCTGATGCATCAGCTTCTAGCTTTTCCCACCTAATGCCATCGGCTTTCTTCAATTTAATTTCCACCTTAATTTTGAGGTAGGAAAAAAGGGAATACTAGATTAAAAACTAACCATAAACACAACTAAAAAGACAATCCATATAAACTTACTTTAGATGATAGAATTTTATGTGAAGATTGACTGGAGTTAATAGGGTGCAATAAATTATATTTGAAGCAGGTCTGCTTGTCTGGTAGCTTCAAGTTAATAGTTACCTGAAAATAATTTTTCTTATTAGAGTTAAATCTTGAACAAGTAACTTTTGACTGAAACAAAATGTTACACACAAGACCTACCGAGTCATCAGCATAGGCTATTTCAACATTGTCGTCTTTCAAATTCTTAACCAGGATATTGATAATGACGTGAGTTTCGGTTTGATACCAGTCCTCTCTAATTTTAGGCATTGCAGCTGGTGCAGGAACTACAGCTGCTGGGCACTGCAGGTAGAAATAAGAAGAAGGAACATAATAAAGATCAAGTAACAATAATGCAAAGTACTAAATTAAATTAAGTTAATATACCTCTGTGCTTTCAGTTGCCATGATAAAAAGTTCTCTAGCTATGAAGCAAACTGCTTTAAACGCCTGGGTACAGCAGGAAACTCAACCTGAAGAAATAAAGGGGTTAAAATTAGAAATTACAATAAATGACAAGAAGGTATAAGGGAAAGTAGAAAGATAAGTGAGGCAAAATAGAGTAACTTAGGTTAGGGAACAGTACGCTACATCCGCACAAAGAGATAAACGACAAGACGTTTCCCAAATGATTGAAATAAAATAGTCAAGATACAAATGACGTCAATACCCAGAAATTATGTGCAACAAGAGGAAAATAAGAAATCGGCAAAAGATAAAGGACTCCGACACTGTCTCCAGGTTTAATAAGAACTCCGTGTGAATCGACAAGAACCAACATAAAATGAGCCTGTGGGGATAGGTTAAATACTAACCGTGGACACCTTACGGGCAATTGATGTTCACCATTGGACCTAAACGAACTCCATCGAAATTTCACGAGATCAGGATTCTGATTCTGGACTTTTCCAAACAGTGAATAGAGAAACAAAATACGATCGACGCTGTTTACATCACGCCTACCACACTGGCGGTGACTCCAAGGGAGAAGATCGCGCAGCAAAAAATCACCCTCATTCGACGCAAACAACAGTGATATGACATTCTCTCGCTCCAGTAGAAGGTCGGCGTTCACTCGACATCCGCAGTTGAATAGTTATACGACGCTGTTCAGCCGACAATGGTGTCGCGGGGAGTGGCCAACCTGTCACGCTCGAGATTCGAATGAAAGGTCGCCGCGAGCGACATGGGACGGTTTCGACGTCTTTGGGTCTTACGCCCACGCCCGTTGTCCGACCCGAAGAAGTCTCCGCAGCAGGCATGACGGACACGAGCGCTTGACGGTCTTGGACACCGCCGCGAGCGTCGCCAGGGCCGTGAGGGCATTGTCGGCCGCCCCCCACGCCCGCCATGAGCCAGTGCAACATCGTGTTCCTCTTCAGGCGGCGCTCCCGGGGCCGCGGCCTGGACAAGAAGCGGCGGCTGCTGCCCCGGGCCTGGCCGGTGAGACCCCGGCGCACCCTGTAAAACGAATCCGGCCTATGAACCTGTGAGAATCACACCGCTGCGCAATACTTGCTTCCAGGCTGCACCCCCTTCGAGCGCACGGCCCCCATTCTTTTCACCAATTTTCAGGACCAGAATTAGCCCAGACTTCCTCGCGAAGGACTTGAACTTGAAATTGGTGTTTAGTATCGTAGCGATTCTCGTGCAAGACCACACGCAGCGCAATAATAACCCAGCAGCAGCTCACTCGGGGATTGGTCATTCCCTCCCTCTGTGGAGCTCTGACGACGTCAACGCCTTTCTACCTCCCCAGGGCGCACTCCCACCTCGCAGCTCACCGATGAGGGGCACCGGGGTCAGTGGGGCCCCCACCCTGAGAAGGTCCGACCCCCAGCCCCCTGCTGACCCCGC